CCGAATGAGGCCATGCTTTTCTCTACTGCTAAGGAAACGATTGAGCAAAACTCTTCAAATTTAAACGCCCAAGAAGATACAAGCATGAACACCGACGATATCCGGCCGTCGACCGCACCCGAATCAACCGATACCCCATCGGAACCACCTCTGGTTCAACCTCCTTCGGTAGATTCATCTCAAGTCAAACCTTCTCGACGACCAAAACTTGATCTTGGCGCAGGAACTAGAATGCTTTTCGGTGCTCTGGGAAGGAGAGCCCCAAAGAACAAACAAGACGCAGAAAAAATCCAACAGGATTTGATGAAGGATGCGAGGCCTATCAAGGTTCCAAAACCAATCGAGGAACCTGTGGCAGATGCGTCCGAATCTGATGATGATGATGAATCATGGAGAGAGAAGATTAATTATCGAGCCGTGGAGTGTTGCTATGATGGTGTCGAATTGAGCGAGCCACCATTTCCCTTCAAACAACGTTGGGATCCTCAGCAAAGTGGAAAGGGACTGAAGCGAATGAGAGAGCAAACACAATATCATGAGGATGCACATGTATCGAAGAAGCAGCGAAAGCGGAAGGGTAAACATGCTCGTGCTGTAGAGGTGGAAAATGATGCCACATACGAGTCTAGCTTTCAAGCAGATTCTTGGAATGCGCAGTATGATGATTCTCAGTTGTCAGGGGCTCGAAATGATGATGAAGGAGATGTCGACCTGCAGCTGTTGAATGATCTACAAGCTCCAAGTGCTGAAGTCAGCCAAGTCCCTGATGACTTGGTGGCCCTTCCCGAAGATCCATCATCTCTCACACAACTTGAGAATGGAAAAGCGAAAGTCGGGATGACCATTGCATTCAAGAGCTTGGAAATGTCGGTCCAAACAAACTGGCAGCCACAAATGTCGCCATATCGAACTGCAATTGTTGTCACGATTGAAGATAATGGGGATCTTGATCTTAGACTTGCAGTAAGAGATCGGGCGGTGAAGTCTTACGATGAAGAAACTGGTGAGAGGATGTTTGACAAATTTGAAATGCCTATGGATGATGACGAGGAAGAAGATGATGGAAGACTATACCTTTCATTTGGTGAGCTTGTTGAGCCGAAAATCGTTGCACCTCCTCCAACGAATACGATACAAGACTCTGTTACAGATGAAGCATCTCAAGAAAAAAATGCACCGACTACAGATGAATCTGTTACTTTGAGTCACGAACGCGAGGAGGAACCCGAGGCACAGTTCTCTCATGTCACTGAAACGCCTCTTCAATCAGATGCCGCGGAGCAGATTGAGGAGATGGTTATCGACGAAGTTGAGGAAACAGTCGCGGACCCCCTGGCCGAAGATATTGCTCCACCCCCCAAAACGCCTTTAAACATGGACAACATCTCCAGCTCAAACGCGGAACATATCAAAACGATCATAAAGGATGCGGGGTTTCGATCATCAGTTCCAACAGTTGTTTTGGATGATCTTCGTCCCACTGGTACAGAAACTCCTGGCGATGCTGCAGTCTTTGAGAAGCTGTTAAACGATATGACAGACATTGGCAGCCGATCCTATTCTCCAAAATTTAATGGTTTTGGTAGCTCACCACCTAAGCAACCTTCAAACCCAGAAGTTCGTGAGTCTTCTCAACGAGCACCCTCCAACTCTCCAGAACCTCCACCATCAAGCTGGCAGACGACTAATTCTCCTTTCACGTCACCAGCAAAGCCCCAGGAGAATAGTTCGAGCTGGGTGACCGTGCCAAATGGAGCATCCAGTCAGCCAGAGGCTGAGGCTGAAGGAAGCCCAGAACCAGAAGAGAAAGACATAACTCCCAAGAAAGCCTCTACTCCTCGCAAAATACCCGAGAAGAAGGCACCGACCCCTCGGAAGTCGCCGAAAAAAGCATCTAGCCCAGAACTAGCGTTGCAGAACGATACGACCCCCATTCCAGAAGTAGCCAGGCCGAAGTCCATTAAGAAAGTAAAACGACAAACTTTTGGAAAAGCTCAAGAATTGTGGGAGAATTTTGAGACTACAAAGAGAGCAAGTCCGTCTGTTGAAAGCCAGGAGTCACCAGACCCATTTGGTATGGATGAGAACAGCACGACTGTTCAATACCCCAAGCTTTCTATTGGATCATCATTTACGAGTCAAGTAACGGATCACGGCAGACAACCAGACTTTGAATTTAATGACAGTACAACCACGAATATCGAAAACCCAAAGGTGCCAGGTCTTGATGATGATCAAGGAGCTGCAACTGACGTCGAACCAGAGCTCCCAAGTCGCAAATCAATCGAGGACAGTCAGTCAAATGATCCAATCGCTGTGGAGGCGGAACTCCCAGCCAGAAAGCTAGCGGGAAAGGCCGTAGAGAAGGATACCACTGAAGATGATTCGGAGGATCTTCCATCGCTGGATGAAGCATTCTTTTCTCAGTCTCAAAAATCTGCAAAGGAGAGAACACCCCTACGCTTCAAAGCACGCCCAAAGCAGACAAAGGCAGACAAGACAGCTGTTACTGTTGAAGAAGATTCAGATGATGAAGTGACACCAAAGGCGTCACAGAAGCAACGTCAAACTTCGCGGAGTCGTCAGAACCAAGGCCGACCATCTCAAGGTGCATCTCAAATTGCATCGCAAGGTCGGTCTCAAATACCACCAACGATTTTCGAAAACCGCCAAGTGAGCGCATCACAACCGAGTGGAGCATCACAGAGACGAGCCTCTCAGCCCCGTGTCTCTGCCTCCCAACCCTTTGTACCGATAGGCTCAATGATCACGGACTTGACCATGACTAGTAGTGAAGATGATCTCGACCCTCCTGTCAAGACTAGCAAGAAACCTCGGAAATATGAGATAAGTAGCGACGATGATGAAGACTATAGGGATGGATGGGTGCCGAAGAAGGAGAAGGAGAGGACGGAGACGAGGAGACATACCAGTGTTGGGTTAAGGGACTCATCGCAGACTTCGCTCAATAAGAACAGGAGGAAGACTTCTGCGAGATGAGATGAAGTAGAGGCTTGTTAATAGTAATTGGGGTTTGTGTTTATACCATAGAGTACATTATTGATTGATCATCCCGTAGGGGAGTACTATGTCTCTAGCTATGCTCAGCAGTACACAACCTTGGAATAGATAGATGTACATGAACCTTAGCAGACCCATGTCTCGGACTGACCAACTCGTGAGACTCATCAACACCTGATCCGCATTCCGGACCTACCTGATGCGATGCTCCTACCCGCGTCACGTGCTCGTACCCGTGGAGTGAAATGAAAAGTCTTCTTGAGATTCAAACCCACCCACCGCTTGAGTCCTCTTCCCATCTACAACCAAGAAACGACTCATCTATGTGTTGCCTTCCTTCACTTTCTTTGTTGTGATAATTCGGTATTCAGAGTTCTTGTTCTTGTTCTTGTTCGGGCGTTTTCAGCTCTCCTGAACAAATTCGCCGGCCTTCTCCTTGCAAGCTACGGAACAGACAGAACTGAGTGAGAACATGCCCTTTTTTATCATAAGAGGTAAGTGAGGCGCAGGAAAAGTATAGGAGTATAGCGTGTTGAAACTTGAAACTCGTTATATTTTTTTCTTTTGTTTCTGTGGCTTTCTTTTCTTTTTCTTTTTTTCTCGATGTAGTGGTGGTGTTCTCGACGCGTTTCACATGTGAGTTGTATCGGTGTCTAATTCGCTGTGCTGTTTTGGACTTGGACTTTAGTGCATGCTTTGAAGAATAGATGGATGGCACGAAACGAAACGAAATGGAGCTTTGAAACGTTATTTTGCAGTCATAACTGTTGTTTCGTCGTGCTTGAATCATTGATTATGTTCCATGTCAGCCATCGTCGTTGAGTCTGACTCTAAAGGGTTGGTGAAACTCTTCTCTTCTCTTTGATTTTCTAATTAACTCTCATTGAAACTCACTTCTCTTCTTGATTATTCTTTTTAAATGTCGAATTGAGCCTTTCGAATGATCTGATGAAAGATACCGAGGAAGGCAAGCAAGCTATATCATAATTCCTCCAAAGTATAATCTCACTCCGAGTCACACATCTCCCAACCAATCACGACACCGCACGTGCATGCATCGGCAAGCGAGTCCTGCATTGCATTGCATCACGTTATCTAGCTCCCTAGGTATCTCTAGAAAGACGTCTATCCGGAACCGCGGATTCGGATTCCATTCCATTCCCCTCCCTCGAGAGTCATGAAGCTCCTCTATCTCCCCATCTCTTCTCTCCTGGCTATTTCGATTCCAAGCCTCGTCGCTGCAAGTCTTGCTCCTGCTCTGGTTCCCAGAACAGCGTCGCCGTCAGATCCACCTGCACTCCCAAGCGCAGCCTTACCACCTCTCCTCCAAGCAAAACCCACAACTCCAACTCCGCTGCTAACTTCGGCACCGTATGCTTTGGTGACCGAAGCTCCGGAGTATAGTTTAGGGACGGGCATGGAGGGTGCAGAAGGCGTTAGTGTGAAGCAAAAGTGGCATTTGACGACGTACACTACGTGTGTCACGCTGGGGACGTATGTCGATTGTGGGGTGCATGAGCCGGTGTTGCCTGGGGGGGATGAAGTTGCGGGAGCTGGAAGGGTGGGTGGACGTGGGGTTTGGGTGGGCTTTGTTGTTGGGGGTGTGGGATGGGTTTTGTGGTGATGTACAGGGGAGGAGGGGTTAATGGTATAGAGGTGGAGACTGTGGGAATGGAAGAAGAGGTGTTGGGTTAATGATGTATGATTTTATGAATGGATGAATGGGAAGGATTGGTATGTGCCTAGGTATGGGCCGTAGCGTTGCTTATTGGGCTGGAGTGGAGTTCAGTTTCGGGATTGGGATCGGTATATGGATATGGATATGGATGGATACGGATATATGGGTAACGACGCCATGACATCTTTACATATTGCTAGATTTGCAGGCATTTCTATCCAACTATAGAACCATAATCAAGACTCGAGATTTTTACTCACTCACTCACTCACTTAGATTCCCTCCTCTGCCTTTTACAATCTCAAAAACGCCCTCCCAATTTCACCTCACAAATCTGAATCTCCACCGCATCATCATAAAACGGCCCCTCCTGCTCCCGTGCCCCTAACACTGGGAACTCAATCTCTTCAGCCCTTAATCCGCACCCCTCACACGTCCCCAGAAACCCAGCAAACGTCCTCTCGTTCCGAACCGTCGCCGCAACTAATACCCTGACGCCCGGATTCCGCGCAAATAGATTCTGGAACGTCGATACCAATGCCGGGATACCAGCTGCGTCATACGTGACATCTGCTGCGATGACTACATCCACATCCGCATCCAGAATTCCCATCCCCATTTCTCCTCTTTCCTCTGCACCGTCTTCGCCCCAGATAAACACGCTGCCGTGGATTTGAGAAGAATCCGTGAGGTGGTTTAATGCGAAATTGGAGGGTAGGCATGAGACTACGTCTGAGGATCCGTCTGTACATAGGACGTGTGCAGCGTGCAAGTATTTGGCACACAGGATGGATAGGAAGCCGGTTCCGCATCCGAGTTCGAGGATTCGGCGCGAGTGGATTAGGGGTTGTGAAGTTAGGTACTGGGAAAGGTGGAGGGATGCTTCCCAGGTTTTCAGACCGGTTGTTCCGGATGCCGAGAGGACTGTTGGGTGGGTTGTTAGTATATATATATGTAATAGAAAAGTTTCTTGTCGGTTAAAAAACACTCGGGTTGGACATATTCAAGGTGTTTTGGCTTAGGGGGGGGGGGGGGGGGTTGACTTACGGTTGCGGGATTCGAGGAGGGTAATCGTTGGTGGGACGAGCGTAGAGGAATTGGAGGTGGGTGTTGGGGGTGGTGATTTGAAGTTGGAGAAGCTGGGGAGGAGGGAGGACAGCGTGTATGTCACGTAGGACTTTTGCTGGGTGGAGGCTGCTTCGGAGGGGAGCGGGGAGGAAAGGAGGGTGGAGAGGTGGTTCATGAGATTATCAGATATTCCCTGAGATATGATAGACGGTCAGAAGATGAGATGAGATGAGATGAGATGTATTGAAATGATCCGGGTTGGATATATATAAATGATTTGAAAAATGTGTTAAATTTGATACGGGGAAGCAATAGCATACGTCTTCTTCCCAGTCTTGAATACTCTGCTCAATTTTCTTGATGAGTTTTTTCAATACCTTTAATTGATATCTCGCAGGAGGTGGATGTTCAATGACTGATTCATCAAACATGGTGGAATAAATAGCTTCTTGGAAGGCATCTTTTCGAAGATATTCCTCATCTGGGTAGTCTAACTCGAGTTGAAGCTGGAGATATTGACGACAGAAGCGGTTGAGTTGTACTCTTCCACCAATTGCCAGTTTCTGCTGCATCCCCAGTGCCCTTCATCGAACAACATGTACATGACTGAAGAACTTTCATCTTTTCTCGTAAGTTTACAAAGTGACCTGGTGGCTGGTGCTCCCTGCAGTTGATGCAGCCCCCGCTCATGCCTTAGGCATCAAGTCACGTGCATTTCATGAGCCACCAGGCTAGTCCCCTCTCGACCATCGCTTATCTTTAGTTCTTTCCACACAGCAACTTTGACCTTTTCTCGTTCGCCGTCTCAAAATCTCCAAATCAACGACAACACCATGGCCGACCAACCCGTAACGCTGCGCACGCGCAAGTTCATTCGTAACCCTCTTTTGGGCCGAAAGCAGATGGTTGTGTACGTCTACGCCTACATCTGCGCACTCAGTGGGATGGACAATTAGCTAACAGTGGTGACAGCGACGTTCTTCACCCAAACCGCGCAAACATCTCCAAGGATGACCTCCGCGCAAAGCTCGCTGAGATGTACAAGGCGACCGTTGCCCAGGTCAACGTGGTACGTTAGATATACTCTTGATTGTTATGCTGGTGCTGATTATATTCCTCGCAAAGTTCGGTCTCCAAACCCAATTCGGTGGTGGCAAGACAACCGGTTTCGCTCTCGTCTACGATTCTCCCGATGCCCTGAAGAAGTTCGAGCCTCACTACAGACTGGTTCGTGTTGGATTGGCCAGCAAGATCGAGAAGCCCAGCAGACAGCAACGTACGTCTCCAACGCACCCCACATGGGACCACAGAAGTCATACTAACGTGATGGATAGGCAAGCAACGCAAGAACAGACAGAAGACGCTCCGGGGAACAGCAAAGGTCAAGGGTGCCAAGAAGAAGAAGGACGCATAGATGTGCCCCTCCTTTTTTGTATGTGGAAAATGGAGGCATTTGGTGTTGCGGGAATGGGCATTGGCTTTGTATGCATCTGCGCTGGCTTTCCATAGGTTTCGAAGGATTGGTTTGCTCGTATGATGCATGAATTCGATGGAACCATTCGGCATACTACAACAATAAAGGCGTTTGCTTTCTTCTGCATACGGGTCGGATACTAGGTGACAATGTGAATCTGGACGATATGACGAGGCGTGGGATTTGGATTTGGAGATTTCAGCGTTGCACACAGTCTGGAAGTTTCCTGGTTGAGCATCTTATGTCGCTTGAAAAGAGTCTCAAGCATCGAATTCTTATCTCGATACTTCATATTGTTTTCCTCATGCTGTTTTCACTTTCCTCTCCTCCTTCCTTCCTCCTTTACAAACATCCCAATTCTTTCAACGCCTTAAAGCTGCAACTTACCACAGCAGACTCTCGAGCTTATGAGCGGCGCCAACCCACCAGCTCCTTACTCCTCACTCGGTATTGATTCAAAGCAACCCCCGCCCAGCACAACGCAGCAGCAGCGCAACGCCACCTTCCCAACCTCCTGGAAAGCAACCTGGTTACAAGCACCCTCCACGCCAGCTCCCCCCAAAAAACCCCTCACAAATAGCCACTACCTCATAGGTGACCTCGAGGCCCCACACCCTTGCGCTGCGTCCCGAAGTTGAAACGAGACTGGAAGGGCCTGTAGGTAATGAATGGAATGGTCTAAACACGGTTGGAGGGGGGGAGTACATAAACCTCTTATTTGCACGCTCTCGAACTTCTATAGATAAAACGCCACGCCTTAATGCGAGACTCCCCGCTTGCACTTTACGCATTTTCAGTACCTGGCTGACTATTGTCTTGCGAGTAGGTAGGTACTAAGTCTATTATGCCCGAACTATCTATGCTTCGTGTCATGCGGCAGACATCACATCAGCCAACGCTATCACCTGGTAGCTCTGCAGAGTAAGGCGAGGCGTGCTTCAGTTCCGAAGCTCTGCTGTTCAGTTCCCTTTCGCTATCGACATCGTCGCCGGAGCCTGACTCTCGTAGCGGGAACGAGACATATATAGCGTGGGTTTGCTCTCGATTCTTCCAAGTAAAGCAATGTCCGATTCTTGTTAGCTTGGTCGCTTCGGCACAGTTCTCCATCGTATATATCATATCGGGGCCTCGATGTCATTCATCGCCGAATCCAATCCACTGCCAGAGCAGGAGTGGAGTGGAGTGTAGTGCATGGATGAGGGGTGTTTGTTTGAAATAAACTCGGCTGATGGATCCGGATGGAATTTATACAAAGCCTAATTTATGCCCATGTTCTTTCTCCATGTGAAATCCACACCCCCCTTTCTTATATATGTGTCATACTCCCCGGTTTCTGGACAAGATTCCCTTAGCTTACCTTTCCATGCTTTTACAGCGACCGTCGATAGATCTGTATTATGCCTCTCTTCCTAGCCTGCACAAGCGGAATCTAATGGTCGCGCTATAAGGCGAAAAGAAATGGGATATATAGGAGGCCGGTACTTTATCATGCTCGCGTAGGTTGCTAGCTAGCTCGGGCAAATATTTCTTCTCTCCATGCTAGTTCATCTCTAGCTACCTTAGGTAGTATGAAGACTTGAAGTACGTGCCATCGCGCCCTGCCAGCCAGCGTATTCAAATTGCATCAACCGTGGGGATATCAACTACAACCTCCTACTATGTATAATTCAATTTAATTTCACATAATTAAGCCTGAGTCTTGACTGAAAAATAAAGTGCACAAATAAACCACTATGATAAAGTAATAACGTCTCCCGTCTGCCGAAATTAAGGTAGACAGGAACCAAGTCCTTGCGCCAGCTTGTATTTACAGTCTGAAGCTCGACGGATCAGGATTGAATATGCACCTCGATCTACGAACTCTGGAGTTTGCGGGGTCTTGATCGATAAAGACCCTGATATTTTCGGTTGTTGTGATGTGCTTGTGCAGAATTATGGTGAGTAGCTGGAGTAATTATAAAGGGCTACTTATTGTATTATAGGGATGTTTCTCACTAGTAAGGGGTGGGTGAAGCTGAGTTAGTACCACATCGGAGATGTAGTTTAAGCTTTTCTATTTGTATATTATTTTCGGCTTCTCTTTGGTATGTGGACGCCTCGGTCGAGATTGTATGGAAAGGTAAGAGGTAAGAGGTAAGGAGTAAAGACTTGGTCTATAAGAGAATATTTCTCAAGAGCTACTATTATCCAAGTCGCACGCAGCACTATGGAATAAGAGATGAAATTTATTAACGACAGATCAGAGCTGGGTATTTGCTATTTAGACATGGAGAATTTAGACCTATTCTCGATCGCGAACCCCCCCAATGCAAGATTAACCCCTTGGCAAAACGACAATACAGTATCCCTATGATGATATTACAAAACCCAATTCCCATCTATATCCGTATTCAGTAGACTGTCGAAGAACAAATTATCCGCCTCCTGCAAACCCCAATCCTGCATCAATTGATCAGAGACCAGCGAAGGGTACCGACTACTTGTAAACGAGACCATTGGCATGTTGACAGGGTCGGAACTTGGTAAAGACATGTCTGGCCAAGTATTAGAATTCTCGGTTCCTTTGAGCTTCAAATTACTGTCGAGCGTGATGATAGTCTGCCGCTTTTCGGCGTACGGCGTCGTGGGGTTTGGAGGAGTCGGAGGCAGTTTGGTCGCGGGCGGTCGCACTATGCTAATGGTGCCGAAATACGGAATCGTAAGACGGAGATTCCCAGCCGCTCGTCCAGAAGGCGAATCGACTGCGAGGAGTGACCGGATAACGTCGGAGCTTTGCGAAGCTATCACATTCTTGCCACCGTCTGATAACATTTCTAGGGATTTCAGTACTGTGTGTATCAACTTTCGATCGTTATCTTTCCGTTGTCGCGTTTCGGTCGTCTCGTCCCCTTGAGAAGGTTCAATCAACCCCAGAAATAATGTAACGGTAGCTGTGAGCGCTCCAAAATCAATAACCTTGCAGCAGAATCTGCTATTTGCCGTACTCCGCATTGCGAGATATCGATATATCATTTCCCTGGATGACTTCAGACAGCTGAATTTGCTGTATTCGTAACGACGTTCTGTAGCAGCACGTAACATATAGGGTAGGTGAACCAATGCCTCCAGCTGGAAATACCACACTTGAGTCATTAAGCTATCAAATTGCTCTGCTGCTTTCGGGGTTCCTTCCTCGGCGAAGAATGTAGGGATTGCCCACCAGGACTCTGGCATATTCTTCGCGAGGTTGTCGAGCTTTTCATCAATCTGCTGCGTCGTGGCATATGCGTTGGAACTTTCACACTGATTTCTATCGATGACCAAGGCTGTCAATTGACTGAGCTTTCTCGAGAAGAGTAAGGGTTTGTCGATAGCCGGATTTTGAAATGTCTCGTCTGGAGCAAAATCGTTATCAGGAGAGCCAACAGGCAGACCCAATAGAAGAGCCTACCATGTTAGCTAGGTTTGTTTGTGTGATGGTTTAACTCACTAAATATCTGTCAGCTTGGAAAATCTGAAACCACATATCTTGCCCATTCGGAATCTCCGTTGACCGTCTATGGATGCCCATTAATTGACCTATATTCAGAGCTCTTCGGAAAGTCAACCAAGCTCGCCGCGGGTTGCCTGCGTTGATGTGATAGACGCCTTGGAGACTCAAGCATTCTAATCCCTCCATAGTGCTAATCAACTCATCATCGGATGTTATAAGACCAGAGACAGTTGCTAGATATCTTTCCATACGAGCTTCAACCGATGGCAGAAGATGCAGTTGTTTGGTATCGAAGTCAGGGTTTAGTTGTTGGAGGCACACTGCAAGGTACAATATAGTCCTCGCAATAATTGTAGGATGCTTCTTTGAGATCTCCGCTAGGTCAAAGATAGGAGGCACTACCGAAGGCTCTCTGTCGCCAAACATACTGGTTGTATGCGTTGACATGGCGTGAATCAGAAGCCAGCAACTGCTGTTTTGAGATATTAGTTGGGCATCTCTTTGTGATGGAAGTATGTCTATTAGAGTTTGCCGAATTCGATCAATTTTAGGTGGCCGGCAAGAAGGAGTTTTGGTTCCGCTACTCGACTGGGCCGGGGTAGGCATTGATGAAGGACCATTTTCTCGACGACCGAGCTATTACTGTTAGTGAGCCCTACGAAACATTGACTAAAATACCCACAACATTATTGTCAAAAAGTGTCATGAAAGGGGTCTCCTGAGAGACCCCGGATGAAGCTGATGTGTAGGGCGTGAGATCCTCAGTCCCCATAGACTCTGGGGTGAGGATATCTTGTTGGACTTTGTCCTCTTCTTCGTATTGTGTGACCTTTGCAACCAAAGTTTCCAACAAGCGTTCTACACGACCGAGTCTCTCGCCCATCTGGGTATTGCTTGATGGTTCGCGCTCTTCTGGGTATTCTTGGCTAAGACATGTCGTTCCCCGCGTGAGGCAACCCGAACAGACTGGCACATCTTCTGAACTCAATTGGCACTTGATCTTTCTTCGTTTGCCTTTTCATCCATTTAGAACATGATTTCGAAAGTCGGATTGAAACATAAGCTTACACTCCCAGCAACTTCGGGTGCCTTTACGGACTCTTTTCCTGGGTGGCTCAGCATCGGGGGAAGAGAAGCCACTTCCAGACATCTTGATGGACTGAATTGCAGGACTGACTATTATCGACGACTTGTTTGATGTAGAAACAAAACAAACGAAAAACAAAGGCCAGATATCATTACATGTCAAACGCGAGAATGGAGATAAGAGAGGTAACATCAATGTGCAACCTCGCGTTGACCGTCATCATGCGCTGCCTGGCGACATTTCTTTCCTCCGCCGTCGTTCGGCTGGACGCGACTCGAGTGATTGGCTCGGAGACTTTTGCTTATGGCATGGGCATGGGTCATGTGATAAAATACCCGAGCCGAGTAATGAAATATATCACGTGAAGGTCTCGCAGGTGCATGCCATGCCATGCCATTTCCTTCAACGTTTCTAAGCCCAATAACTTTTATCTTTGTCTTTGGGGAAGCTCATGCATGCCTCCTCCAATTTTTCATTCCCATTTCCTTTAGGACCCCGGCTAAACCTCATTATCAGGACTTTCTCTGCAGCGTTTATCTCAACATCAAAACTCCCAATCCTAGCATTTGGGGGTATATAATCCATGTCAAAGCCATCTTCCTCTAGACCCATCCGCCAAGCGTCCAAGTTAGCCATCGTGGTAGAGTTCCGCGTACCTTCTCGGCAGGCATACCATCGCTGCAAAGCAATTGCCTCCCGGCGAAGTGTTCGATCTCGACACCACTTTCCAACTGCATGAAGGGCAGGAATTACTCCAAGATTGAAAGTGAAATCATCATCCGAAATACTCTTCTTCATCTGTATGATTTTCCTGCAAGTGGAAACAAGTTCTTTGAAGTCTTCAAGGTGCTTGTCGAAAGAGCAATTATCCGTATCCAGCGAGCTGACCAGGTACATCTCGCTAGTCTTGCAACGGACAAAAAGCATGTGTGCTGCAATTGCTGCTGATTTGTCAGACGACTGAGTGATTTTATTGTATAAAGCTTTGAAGGCTCGGCGCCACCGTCCGTGTTCTCGTGCCAATTTGTCCCTTTCATCTTCAAAAGTTTTCAACCTCTCGGAAGGTGTAGAGGTACCCATCTGTGGACCAATGGCACTCTCGTCTTGCTTAGGGGTAACTTCCCTTCCTTCATAGAGTTTCGACGGTATACTTTGATCTTGTTGGAGATTGGATATCTTCCACATGAAGAATATTGCTCGTGAGTCAACCAAACGCCAATAGTGACGAACATCGTCTATATTCGAGAATTTCAAGGGCATTTCTTGGATTTCTTCCTCGCCTTCATTTATCGATAGTCGGTGGCTTTCTGCCGGGCTAGAATCGTTTATCCCTAGTATCTGAGTGTTGAAAAAGGTACCTGCCTGGACCATCTCGATCTCCGGAAGCATGGTACGAAGAGTCTGGGGATCGCAGTCCCCACCTCTGGCTTTTAAGCATTCTTGAAACAGCTTCAGCCCCTATCATACATGTAGCATCAGCATGTTTATCCGACGGTTTCATCGAATACTTTGAGGACAGGATCATAGAATCTTCTAGAATAGGCAAATCTTCTCGACAAGTTGGACCAGACAACCATACAAAACTTGGCAACATCTGGTCCTGGATTAACTTACACTGCGAGTGTGGCTGATTGTGGTAATGAGGTTACCAGATAGACATTCTAAACACCAAGGCGCTGAGTCAGTACTGTAAAAACAGGGACTTGAGGCTATGGATGGGGAGGCGTTCACTCTGAACCCGCAACTCGAGTAAGCAGTCTTAAGATATCCGAAGCAGGAAGTGTTCAAAGTAAGGACTTACCGAAGAAGCACACCATCAAACAAGCCACCAAAGCGGCTCTGGTATCCGGTCGATTGCCCAGGGTTTCCCTCATTACCTGCAGAGATTTTTCATGGTGTTTCAAAGCGAGCTGTCTATGTCGAAGCGCATTAACTCTCGAGGCTTCATCTTTGGCTTCTCGATTTAGCTTCCTCGATACACTGAGAGCGCCGATTGCAACAACAGCTGTAAGCATATAGGGTTGTTTCCGACAGCCGTCAATCACGAGTCGATTCCAGGTGGACTTGTCCAAAGCCCCAGATAGATCAAGAGCTATCTCGTTTTGGAAGTGCTGAAAATGCGTAAATTCGAATTCACTATGGCACTCAACCCCCGAGAAAGGTACAACTGATAGATTGTCAGGAATCTGGAGCGGTAGTAAAAGCCGTGGGCGCAGCAGGCTTTGTCGGAAATTCGAGTACCCGTCGCATTCAAGTCCAACTTTGATGCACCGATTGCACTTTGGCTTGGCCTCGTCACACTTGACTCTCCTCCTTTTCTATCGAGAAATTAGTTACTATTTCTCCAGCAAAAGCAAGAGCCGAATAGGTGAAACACCCCTCGGGGTTCTCAACACAGCAAACCCGAGGAACGAAGAAAATGGTTGATATTACACAGGTCAAGCAACCCGATTTTGTTTTGACATTCTGTCTCCTCCTAATAATCTCCTTGGATGATTCCGAGGTCATCGTTCTAACGATAAGGGAGAGTCCGCTAGCTTTGTCCCTTCAAAAGATGATACTAAATAGACAAAAGCACATTCGCAAACTGTATTCGCATCGAAAGTCAAGTAGATGATTGAATATAACCACTGAAAGACAGCCTTGTGTTTCGTTATCCGCTTTGATTTATGTTGAAGACTAGCACTTTAATAATTAGTTAGGTAAGAGGTCTGATGGAGTCCATATCGCCGGAGGGATTCTTACGTACTATTTTAAGATTCTGTGCCACAATCAGGAGGGGGCTCATTCAAACCTCAATCCTAGACTCAGCCAGATCGTAATCGTGTAATAGTGAAAACCAAATCTCGACTTTTAAATACCTGTTGAATTTAACAGGGTGGCGAGGTAGAAACGTTAATCTTAAAACAATTAAATCATCAATTCGAGGGTTACGAGTAATTCCTTCATTGCGGCACAGTCAAGTCAGTACCTACCTACGCCGTAGATGCTAAATCTCTATAAAGGGTGGCTTACAACTTAATCAATGCACATTAGACATATCAAGGAATTTGATTGTCTCATGACCAAAGAGGGCCTACAGATCCGTAATTTTTATGCGGTATAGTAGTTCACCGCAGGCACGGTGGTACCTCAAGTACCCCTGGCGTTACAGTAGCTCCTGAGGCTTAAGTCCGGAGGAGTGGCCCGCTTTTCAACGATGCCAAATCTGGCATGTTGTGAATTCGAGCTCATAGCATAGCTTGCCATTAATGCAAAGAAAGACCTTGATGTTTCTATCACTCTTTGATTTCCCAAACCAGTGTACTAAGTATGAATGCCCTAGATGAAGCAAAAAGAGAGGCTGCCAAGCGTGCAGTACCTCGAGCCAACGGACAACGCTTGACCCGCAGGCGTGTCCCCCTTTCATGTATCGCGTGTCGAGTGCGAAAGTGAGCACCTTCCCTATATGTACACTCTATAGGCATAATTCAGACTGTTATATTGATAGAAACACAGATTGAAATGCAATCGAGAGAAGCCATGCCAAAATTGTGTTGTCAGAGGAGAAACGATTGCAGCTGCGTGTACCTACGTGGAGAAAGCGGACAAAAAGAGTTCACTACTATCAAACCCACGCTCAGATGCTGAGGATATGAGGAAGAGGCTCAATCGTCTCGAGAGCTCCATTCTCTCCATGATGGATACTAATGGGAATCGCTCTGAAACTTCTGCATCCAGTCTTTCCCACGTGTCAGGTGCCGAGAACACCAGTGAAAGCCCAGATCAAACTGGAGGGCAAAAGATATCTGTTGATTCCAGGAGCACACACTGGGATGCTATCTTGAATGAGGTGAGTACTTTGTTTATTTTGAAAGAATGTTACCTGACGCGGCGCAGCTTGGAGCTATGAAGGATGCTTGGAGTGAAGAGAACGACAAGATTGAGTTCTCAAATGGCCCAGTTCCTACTGGAAAGCCTTTTCGACCAAGTCTCCTTTCCGGACTTTCGCAGCCTCCTGATCGAGCAACTATCATGGAGTCTTTGCCTTCCAAGGAAGCCACTGACAGACTTGTTTCCCAATTTTTCAAATCTTACACCCCGTCGGTACCCGCGGCATGTAAGTGTGACCACTTCTCACTACCGGAATCTCATTGACATATGTCTAGTTTTGGTTCATGAAGCAACATTTCTGAAGCAGGTGAGATGGCCTCGTTATATTTTAGTGCAAAGCTAATCCTGAGCAGTGTAACAAGCACTGGGAAAATCCAGCTGAAACCAAAATAATGTGGATAGGTCTCTTGTTTGGCGCGATGGGTCTTGCAATGCAGTCATACACCAGAACCGGCGATATCCCTCCCGAATACCAGGGCACTATACCAGCGATGGTAGATCTATATCGTATTCAGGCAGCCCAGTGCATTGTCCTTGCCGATATAACTAAACCAGTCGAGTTCACAATCGAAACATTGATGTTCTACACAATGCTCGAGTACACAGTCTCCAGAGATGGAGATATGGGCACATGGCTTTTATCCGGTACGATCATGCGTCTGGCGTTGCAGCAAGGTTACCACCGTGATCCATCACAACACCCGAATCTCACGCCCTTTCAAGGGGAGATGCGAAGGAGAGTTTGGATTAGCCTTAATCAGCATGAATTGCTATTCTCTGTACTTGTTGGTCTACCCAAGCCGGTCAAGTATGCGGAATGCGATACGCAGCCACCTCGCAATATCCATGAGGAGGAGCTTTACGAGGATATGAAGGAATTGCCACCTTCTCGACCTCTGACCGAACCAACTAAAGTTTGTTTTCAGGTTGTCAAGTCTCGATTGATGCGGGCCTACGGCGAGGTTGTAGAGTTCCTCCATCTTATTCGGCCGCAGCCTTTTGCAGAGGTCATGAGGCTTGACTTGAACTTGATGAAAACCCGGGAGATGATTCCAGCCCATCTACAGCTCGGGGATACACTGGAAGATATGAAGAATGACCAACCAGCAAGGACCATGGAGAAATATATCCTCCAACTATTTTACCACAAAGCAATAGTTCTACTCCATCGCAAATTTTGGGATGCTGCGCCAGAAGGTACCCCGCCGGGAAAGTTCTATTACTCACGGAAGACATGTGTTGCTTCAGCAGTTGCTCTTTTAGATCACCAAGCACTGATGCATGAAGGAATCCGTCCAGGCGGACCACTTGTCAAAATGAAATGGTACCATTTCGTCATCACCACCCACGATTTTCTTCTCGCGGCAATGGTCATATGCCTGGATGTCATGAACCTCCGACGACAATTTCCAGACAACAATTTCCCTCCTTGTGTCATTACGGAACCACAAAAGCTAAACGCCATTCTGAGATCAAGGAATATATGGGCGGACATCGTGGATGATTGCCAGGATGCAAAAAGGGCTGTCACCTTGTTGGATGCTGTTTTGAGCAAGCTGAAAATTAAAGGCCAGCGAGAGGAGAAGAGAACAGAGGAGATATATCAAGCTCAGCCCTTATCAGCGTTGGCTCCGCACCCAACGGCGGAAACTTTAAGGTTTGATCCATACTTTACCGATCAATTTGCGCTGGGTGGGATGCCTCTCGCAGTGGGATATCCTACTACTGAGGACGACATCATGCAAGATACGTTTCCTGATATCCTGTCTTCCGATCTTTCTGTTCCAAATGACTTTGACTGGGTAAGTCCTTTGACTTCTGGTGTACTACACCGTCCACTAAATGATAAACAGGATGCTTGGGATCAGTTCCTGCAGGTACAACAGCAGTCATTTACCGAGGCAATCCCCTATGAGTTTCAGATGCAAAGCGTATGAATATAGGACCAGACTAAACCTGCTACACTCGTTCTACGTACCGGCTACATTCAATCCAAGCTTTACCATATCCATATAAGCACGGAACACTAGACAAGAGCTCCAATTATACGGCGGCATCGATCCATCGAGCTGCGAATCTATCCTGAAATCCTCAAAAATAGGGCCCAACTGGCCCCTCCACGTCTTGACACTGATCTCAGAAAACCCAGTCGCAGTCTCCTTCATACCGTCCGTCTCAAACCCCTTTATGAGAGTCGCCATATATTCATCCAGCGGTATAGGTTGGGGCGCCTCCATCGTTCTTCCCCTATGCTGCGCATTAAGCGGCGGCGCGAGCTCAATGACATTAATATGTTTACCGGCAAGCTGAGCGCGCAGCGTAACCATAAAAGCGTAGGTACCAGACGACTTTCTTACCTGTGGAGTGAGTGGAAGTGGCGAGCGAGGGTTTCTCCTCGGCGAAGATTGCACCGATGAGGGGGATTTATTTGATGTTGGCTGTCATTTCGGATTGGATGTTTGGATTGATAAGAAGCTCGATGTTCACTTACTGTTAGTCAAGCTTCTTAATATCATAAAATTAAACACTACTTATACGTTTCCTTTCCTATCCATCCTAAACACGATTCAGTATGTTCTCTACAACAGCCTCAATCACAAGCCAGACTTAATCAAATAATCTATCAATGGACTTTCCTTACCCGGATATCCATAACATCACAACCTCCTTTCTCCGCTTCGGTTCGAAGAATACTCCACTCATATTTTGCTTCAAACCCGCTCGCACCGAGACTTGGACAACTATCTAACCTTTACCTACCCATAAAACTATAAGAAAATCTCACTCATACGTAACGCAATAGAAAATAATACCCCACTGCATCAAAGTAAAAGGGCCTGTCACGCAGTAGTCACGTGCTACAATATCATATCAAGCCTCATAACCAAGGCATTAACTCTCCCATCCATCAATCTATGCCATCCTCGCCCAAAAAATTACATCTCCAAGCCTTCCAACCCAACCCACCTCACCACCACCTCACCACCACAACCCACACCCACACACACGAAATCCTCGACCTCTTTCTTCCGCAAACATGCCACCAAAGGTCCAACGCATCCCCATCCAAGCCGCGACGTCCTCGCGGCGCTCGGCCCCTAAGGGCTATTTCGCAAGCACGTACAACACGTTGACAGCGCCCGAGAACGCGAGCGTGGTGCGCAGCGTGGCTGTTTTTGGGGCGGCTGTTGCGTTGTTCGCTAGTAGTTGGAGTGAATTTCTTTTGCCGCCGTGAGTTTTTGTTTTTTTTTCCTTTGCTGTTTTCTGGTTCTATGTATGGGATGGAGATGTAGATGGAGATGGATGGGGAAAGGAGCCAGGATGGTTAGATGGATGATGGTGCTAATGGTTTTATTTGCAGGTTGTAGAGAAGGGAAGAAGTGAGGGAGGGGAAGAGGGAGAGGGAGAGGGAGATGCATGGAAAGGGTATGGATGTGATGGATGGATGGATGTGGCGGTGGAATAACAAGCACCGTCGATGTTGGAGATAGCTCGGGAGGATTGTATGATACAAGGACGAACGGGCAACAGCGTCGGGGTGTGATACGAATATGAGTGTAATACAAAAGGGAAGGCATGGATTGCATGACAGGCGTTACGACGATACATACCAACGAGTGAATCTCTACTTCACAACCTTTCGTCAATCTATTTTGAAATATGCCTTGAAGGGAACTGTGCTCAACGACTCTATGCAGGTTTCTTGATAAAGGGGAATTATGTAATGATTGTATACACGCAGTTTCTCTGCCTAAAACTACACGGAGAGAGATCCCACCTATTAATCATTCAACCCTGACGCCTGACCCTGACACCTTCCCCATCAAATAATCAATGCTGACTCCACTGTATACTATCAAGAGCAACACCCTCCTGCACGAGCTCCCAAAGCGGGCTTAGCTCTCTCAAAAACGTGACTCGTTCCTTCACTGCCTTCAGCACATAGTCGATCTCTGACTCTGTGGTGAAGCGACCGATACCGAAACGGATACTGCTGTGGGCGCTCTCATCACTGCTGCCCAAGGCCCGTAGTACGTAGCTGGGCTCCAGGGAGGCGGAGGTGCAGGCGCTGCCGGAGGAGAGGGCGATGTCTTTCAAGGCCATGAGAAGGGACTCACCCTCGACGTACGCGAAAGATACGTTGACACAGCCGGGGTAAAAGTGGTTCGGGTCTCCGTTTTGGGTGGTGTGCTCCAGGGAGAGGAGACCGCTAAGAAGTCTGTCGGAGAGCATCTTGATCCGTTTAGAATCATACTAAAGACCATTAGCTATGCTCGATAATTATATTCAAATTAAAGTATGTAGAGTAGGAAATCAGAAAATGTACTGCGTCTCTTCAAGGAAGCCTCAACTTGCAAGCAAGGAGATCACTCTGAAAGCCATGCATATGAAGTAATTCATCATATTCAACAAAGTAAAAGTAACGGAAGTACTCACATCCATCTCCTCCTTGGCAATTCGACAGGCTTCTCCAAATCCGACAACTAACGCAGGCGCAAGGGTACCACTTCTCAATCCTCTCTCCTGTCCGCCTCCAGAGATGATAGGGTCGATTCTAACTCTCGGCCTTCTTCGGATATAGCAAGCTCCCATTCCCTTTGGTCCGTAAATCTTATGAGAAGAAATGGACATTAGATCAATCTGCATCTTGTTGACATCCATTGGGATCTTGCCGACTGCCTGTGCTCCATCGGTGTGGAAAAAGACCTTCTTTGACCTGCAAAGCTTGCCTATCTCCTCCAGGGGTTGGATAACACCAATCTCATTGTTCACTGACATGATACTGACGAGACAAGTCTCTGGCCGGATGGCAGCTTCGAGTTGAGCCATATCGACCAGGCCGGTGCTCAAGACAGGGAGATATGTAACTTCAAATCCTTCGTCTTGTAAATGCCGACAACTGTCAAGAACACACTTATGTTCTGTCTGGGTGGTAATTATATGGTTCTTCTTTCCACCTCGGCCAAAGAACCTCGCAACTCCCTTGACACTCATATTGTTACTTTCTGTAGCTCCGCTCGTGAAAATTATCTCCTTCGGGTCCGCTCCAATAAGATTTGCAATATGCTCGCGAGACTCTTCAATACCCTTGTCGGTTTCCCATCCATAAGCATGCGTTCTCGAGTGGGGGTTGCCATAAAGTCCGCTGTAGTATGGCAGCATAGCATCCAACACCCGCGGATCAAGAGGTGTTGTAGCTTGCATATCAAGATAGATTGGTCTCTCGCCTTCATCCATAACTGTGGCTTGCTTCAAAACACCTGTGAAAATTCAAATCAGCGAAAGTTCGCTGTTTTGCGGAGTTAAGCCATACCAGCCATAGGGCTCATCATCGCATCAGCGTTGACATCGGTTCCTGGCACAATCGTTTTCTCTGGAAGCTTGCCGGTCTCTGCAAAGAATGCTTTTTGATCGGCTCGGATGGCAGTGTCGACGTTGACCTGAGCGTTATCTTTCTTCGTCGCCGAGACATACCCCCTCCTCGAAGTTGTTTGGCTTGATATCCCCGCCACTCTCGCAACAGAAGTTCTTGAAACACCAGTGGTTGACGACGACTGCTTTAAGCAGAAGCGCGAGGCCTGTCGCAATGTATTTGCATGCATTGTCGGCATATTGGTGATGTGGTGAAGAAGATGCGGATGGATCAGAAAGTTGTACTGTAGCAGAGAAGAGGAGAGGCAACAAATATTGATAAAGAAGCTTCCAAGCGAAAACAGATGCGATTGGCTGAGGTGCAAGAGCGGGCGTCATTGGGGGCGACATGCCGGGGTTTATGAAAAGAAGCATAACCATAAGTAATTATGAAGGTAAGGTATGGTTATTCACTCCACCTGCGTGCAACTCCTCCGTATCCTAGATTCCTAGATCTCCCTCTTCCTCTTTTCCTTGTGAATAGTTACATTTCTTCATTCATTCTAGACATAAACTCGATTAATTCCGTGCTGCAGTACCTACTCACCCACGGTAGGCGCATAGATACCTAGCGATCTGGCTAACGGCAAACGCTCAGCCACTCACATTCCTCGTCATCACATCACACACATACTGGACTACACCGGCGCCGGCAAGAAACGAAAGTCCGCTTTACTCCAAGCCCTCGGCGTCTCTTCTTTACAATTCTAATATTTCCAACTCCAAGACACCGCCCGACCGTTTCTCTACCCTTTGCGACAGTCTATTGAATTATTCGGGGCGTTGGGCTCTATCCCGAGAAGGAAACGCCTCACAATACAAATACCCCACCACACCACCTCCCGACAGTTGAGAGCCATCTGAGGCATTTTGATCTACGTGAGTGGGAGGAGAGATGTCTTTCAAGGGCTTCCAGAAGTCAATCGTCAGAGGTGAGTCTATTCCAGAGGCCCGGCCCGGCTCTTGGGGATAGTGGCATGGGGAGGACAAAGAACGCCTGTCGCACCATCGCTGACGCATCCCTCAGCCCCGCAGACATTCAAGGCCAAATTCAATCTCGGCGAGAATACGAAAGATGCCGTCTATATCGACGCGGAACGACGGTTTGCCGATCTCGAGAGGGAGACCAAGAAGTTGCACGACGAGAGCAAAAAATACTCAGATGCGATCATTGGCATGATGAAGCACCAAATCGAATTTTCCCAAGCCATCGCCGAGATATACAAGCCTATATCTGGTCGCGTATCAGACCCAGATTCTATCATACCCGAAGGCAACCCAGAAGGTATACAGGCCTGTGAGGAATACGAGGCAATTGTGACGGAACTCCTGGCTACCCTCCAGCCCGAGCTAGAAATGATTGAGACGAGGGTGATTCGACCTGCGGACGAGTTATCGGAAATTATAAAGGCCATAAGGAAATCTGCACTAAAACGGCAGCATAAGCAGCTGGATTATGACCGACACCGAGCTACCTTAAAGAAGCTTCAGGACAAGAAGGACAAGAGTCTGAAGGATGAGAAGGCAATGTACAAGGCGGAAAATGAGGTTGAACAATCGACGCAAGAATTTGAGTACTTCAACAACCTCCTGAAGGACGAATTACCCAAGCTCTTCGCTTTAGAACGCGAGTTCATCCGGCCTTTATTCCAATCATTCTACTACATGCAACTGAACGTCTTCTACACTCTTCATGACAAGATGCAAGGATGCGACATTGGCTACTTCAACCTCCAGCTGGATGTGATAGAGGGATTTGAAGCGAAGAGAGGGGATATCCAAGAACAAGCAGAAAAGTTGGCAATTACCAAGTGGAAGACGACCGGTGGTAGGCGTCCGGCAAGGTTGGGTCCAGGAGGCAGCAAGCTTGCCATTGAAGACAAGCAATCCCCTTCTCGGCTCGCTATTGAAGACAGGAAGACGTCCGTTCGACGATCCATGGACGATGGAGAGAACCCACCACCACCCTATTCAACCCAATTATCGCCCAGGTTCAACGAGACTACAGTCACTCGCTCAAGTTCGACGGGTTCCGCATGGGGTGCAGCAGCAAAATCAAAGGGGCCAGCTCCACCACCTCCCAAGCCCAAACCATCACGATTCAGCGGCGCGCCTCCCGCAGAGACTGCCACGGCGCTTTATGATTACGAAGCTCAAGCCGAAGGAGACTTGAGCTTTTCAACTGGGGATATTATTGAGATTGTGACAAAGACGAATAATGAGAATGAGTGGTGGATAGGCAAGATCAAGGGGAAGCAAGGACAGTTCCCAGGTAAGGCTCCTGACAACGAGCTATTGATAATGCTGATTAGTACCTAGGAAATTATGTGCAAGTTAATTAAGAGGTTAAGACAAGAGAGAACGGCCCGCTTCTGTATCTAATCAGCGATTGGGGCATTTGGAAAGTTCCATTCTCCTTCAACAGACCGAGGCACGGCTATAGAGGGGGTTATGCATGGGCAACTCGGGGGGGAGGGGAAGGGCGGGTTAGCATGCATGTCATGCGTGTATCGTATACATCCAACAAGTATCGCCGGCTTATCATATTTATCACACTGCTTAGCTCTGAGAAAGAAAGAACTTCTGGTCACAAGGCAAACTCTCTTGCCGGTCTTAATCGATAGTACAGTATGTGACATGCATGTGCTGTCAGGCAAAGCAGAGCCGGGCGTCCAAGTAAGAGCGGCACGACCATTCGTGGGGAAGTACTGTAAGAACAAGGCAAACGGGGCATCCATCGATCGCGAGGCGGGTTTTCCATCTGTATCTGGCCCCCACCATCGGGACGGGTACTGCACTCAGTAAGCCCTAAACTCAAGTGAGACGTGGGCTTGCATGCTATGCGGTATCAGTAGTAGGAAAGTCAAGTAGAGCCGCACGCCAGCAACGTCCTTCCCAATCCGATCCAATGCAATACTTGCCCACACCAACGTCACCTCTACATTTCATTATACACTAGGTACATGTACACAGAGAGAGATCCTTGCTTGTCTCTCTTTCATGCAATGCAATGCAAAGCCTCACACCCTCTTGTGTGTATTTATTTTCCGCATGTTCTTCTACTGGAGTGGAGTACTGTAAGTAGTCATTCGCACATGGGGGCCAGAGAGAGAGAGAGAGAGAGAGAGAGAAAATAAAAAGAGAGAGATGTGGTAGTGAGACGTGGTAGTGCATGTAGTTACGCCCGGTAAATGTGGGGATGGGGGCTGAGGCTTGGTGCTAGATAGGTTGGTTTGGAGACTGGTGGATAGTACCGAGAGGGGATGGGAGATTGATGGATGGATGGATAGTTGAGTTCATGTCTACTAGTAATTAGCTAGCCAGACAAAAATGCCACGAGGGTAGGTAGGTAGGTAGGTAAGTTCTAGCGTTGTAGTTCGGTGATGGGACAGCATAGGACAGGAGAGGATAGCAAATAGATAGATAGATAGTATGCAGTAGATGAAAGAACCATAAATGTATTCATTACTATTGAATGCCACACCATCTCTATCTGCAGCACTAGAGCATGAAAAATCCAAAGCAGAAGACCAGCCTAATACAGTACACCCACCCTCAGCTCTGGAGCTTTTAACTAGGCACGCTCTGAGCAGATCCAAAATTATAGCCCCGGCTGATATCTCTGTACATGGCCTTTTCTCTCCACGCCCAAGCCCAACGGCCGGCTGTGCCTGAAGCTGAAGAAGGAGGGCCACTTTTCCCCGTATCTGCAATTGCAGTTGCGGTTGCGGTTGTAACTGCAGCATGTACATCCATATCCACATCCACTGCCTTTCCTGACCCAAGAAGCACATGTGCATTCATCCCCTCTCCCTCGCTATCAACCGCCTTGCCCTTCCCCTTGCGGTCAATGGTAAGCATCCGCTTCCCCTCCTCCACATCCATTCGCACGTCTTCATACGCATACGCACCTTCTGGAAGGTTCCCATTCCCGCCCACATCTGCATTCAGGCCGTCGATATTGCACCCCGTCGCCCTGCCATCGATATGCGGGCCCTCGCCGACACCTTTGGCACCCCACCGCTTCAAGCCCTCTAGCCTAATGCCCGCATCAAAGCCAACGAAGATGAGCGCCTGCGGCGCGTTGGCTGGCCCCGTCACATACACCATGGACCTATCGTCCATGACGCCGTCCACGCAGCCTAGATGGTTGGGCGGGTTCAGCAGGTCGTAGAGCTCTTGGTCTGCGCCTGCGCGTGGGAAGAATGAGATGGGTTGGGCGTGGGGGAAGAGTTCTGCGAGGGCGGTGGTGAGATCGGGGGAGGGATCGCGGGAGATTCCCGTGGTTGGGTCGGTGAGGGGCGGGCCTAGGGTGCGGCTTGAGCCGCGGAGACGGAGGCGCTGGGTACTGCGCCAGTCGGTGGGTAGAGGGTCGTTCACCAGGTCGAGGAAGGTAGAGCTGCTGGTGTGGTAGGTGCGGATGAGGGTATTTGCTAATGTGTAGGTTGGTGGCATGGAGCCGTCGTTACCAGGGTGGGTGTAAAGGGGTTTCCGTTGCGGGGCTTCCAGGTAGTTCGGGTTGTCGTCCTTATTGCGTAATTTGACGATTGGGAGATTGGGTAAGATAGTAATGTCGAGATTGTCGGATGAGGTTGGAGATGCTGCTGAGGCGGCGCTTGGTTCTGGAGACGAATATTCTGAATCGTCATGCTTGGGTTTAGGGAACTTGATTTTAGTTGTATAATACGTTCGCTGACTCCTGGAGGCTCCCAGATACCATTCCTTTCGAGACTCGACGATTTTGAGTTTTCCAGTAGTCTCATCGGTATCCAAGCGGAGAAATGTCCATCTGTCATCAATAGGCCCCTCTTGATGCTGTCTTCGCCACATCTGCTTATTTTCCGTCTTCTCTATCAACTCCTTGTATGGGGAATCCAAGGGAAACCGAATGCAGTGGTAGAAAGAGGTCCAATCTATCTCCTCGACTTCAAATGAAGTTTGATTAGATAGAGCATAGAAGTCTGTCTTGTGGAATTCGAAACAAATAGTCGAGCCAATCTCATTCCCAACCATATCTGGTAGGTGGATTCTTTCTTTGAACCATTCTTTGGTTTCGAAAGAGTATCCTTGGATTACCCATTTCTTGTGTCCATCATTTCCCAATTCAGAATTGGTCCCAAAATAGAGGAACTTACTATTATGGCGCACAAAGATCTTCTCTGTAGAATCTAACTCCTTAACAAGAAGAATAGCTCTATATCCGACGTGAAATGCGATGAGCCATGCCGTAGAATCCGAGCCTGAGGATCTGTAGAGGCATGATGTTATCTTATCCGAGTAGTACAGGATTTGGAACGTTCCTCTATTATTATCCTGGATGTCGGATAGTGCTTGGGTTAGCAAACCTGGGATGCTGATGACAACCTCATGGCCGCTAGAGTTATGGAGGTCCAAAACCCTAACTTTGTCGTCCAGGGTGTAACACAAGACACCATTCAGATAGACAAATGCATCACAGACGCCGATCGTGGCGACTGTGAACGGATTCACGGTGGCCAGCGCATTGCGCCTCTTAGCAGCCCTGCGAAGTGCTCGTGCATTGCCACCGCCAGCTGACGCAGCGGTCAGGGCTTCATTGGAAAATTTGATCTTAGTCTGTACGCAGGTATCGTCAGCAGCTGAACTTTGGCCCTCTGACAATCTGATACCCAACATACCCAATCTGAATAGGAATATACGAAACTTGCTCACCTGGACAATGTTCTTGCAGATGTTCTCTTCCATAACGATGAATTTCAATTCCTTACACACAAGAGCCAAATTGAAGACGTCGTCAAAGTCGATATTTCCCACGATATTTGCCAACACCTCGTAAGGAACACATAGCAGTCCAAACATTACACTCTCTCACGAGAACAGAATATAATAACTTGTCTGAAAGAAGCAAAAATGTCATAGTATCAGCCATTATAAGGAGGGTTTGAAACGAGTAAACGCAAGTATATGAATATGAATCTGGGACTGACCTGCACACTGGTGTTGGGAAAGAGAAAGCATTGGTGATCTTGTGCAGTTGGAGAAATAGGGCGAACAGATTAGAGTGGTATTGTGTCAGCCTTGAGCCATGGGCCATTGGGCGGTGACTTATACTGCATGTCATGAGGCTCCGCAGTTGAGCCTCAAAGTTTGCGGGAAAGGCTATCATGTTGTCTGAAACTTAGTCTCACAGTAATTTTGAATAATCCGAGATTAACGGGGCCTTTTGAGGCTGTGTCGGGTATCTTGACCGTACATCATGTGTCCTCGGTTGAAACAGAAAGAGCCGCATTTCTGGCATGCTACGAGTACAGTACTGTATGCACTGTCCACCCGATAATAAGATGACATGTCGGAATATGTCTCCGTAACAGGTCGGCGACAATGGGCAGGTTTCCGCCTTATTTATGAGTATGAGTATCAATGGCAAGGATTGCCCCAGTCCCAAGATGCGAGATGCTTGATGGATGGATGGATGGGGATGAATGCATGGGCTTGTTATTAGGTACTTCGTACATCGATGTGGAGGAACCCCTGTTCTGACCAATCAGATGAAGTACTGACCACACCTCGTTCTTACCTCCTATAGGAAGAATGAGGCTCTGCCCTTGAAATTAGGGGTTCTACTACGCCCCATTATATTGCCTGGAGGAATTGCTTCATCCTCTCTCTTACATTCCCGGCCCATCAATGGAAACCCGGGAACGAAAGTCGAAAAACCCTTGGCAGGAAAACAGGCACAGTATAGGAATGTGCGCAGCAGGATTTTGTGCAGCAAGGGATGAGGCTCAAGTGTTTGAGAGAGAGAAAGAGAAAGAGCTAGGGGTAGCTCAGCAGTCAACACGCGGCTCAATTGCTATCTGTTGTGGTTAGCATCCTGCACTGTACAGTAAACAGACAAATCTGCCTCGGTGGCGTGCGTGCAGAGCCGCTTCGTCTTCGTATCAAAACGCCGGATGCACTGAGCCTGGCGACTTTTCAATAATGGGGTGGACCGGACGAGTCTATTTGATTGAGGGCTACCATAAACACCATTGCGGTATCTGTGTATATATTTATAGTACAGTATTGGCAATGCAGCATCGGATGGGCTTGGACTAAATAGCCAATCGGTATGAATTTGAGGCACCGAATTTGAATGGGTGAAATAGCTGGCAGGGCAGGGCGCTTCAATAGAGAACCCTGGGTTGTATTGCCATGTGTGCCTCGACGGAGAAGGAGAAAGAAAAGTCCAAAGCTCTGCTGCACTGCAGAACTTGGGAAGCAGCGAGTGGCAGGAGCTTTGGCTTGGGTGGGTAATGCCCTTCCACACATATTGCCTAGGTACCGTAAGCTGAACATTCCAACCGGCCCATCCCATCCCATCCCATCCCCAGAACCCGGAAGATGGGAAGCCTCGCGATTCGATCGCCGCGAGCGAGCCTGCAGCTGTGCAGGAAGATATATTAATTCGCAGCCGCGGCTGACGACTGAGAGCGTTCATAGGTAGGTATATACAGACCTAGGCTGGCAGCAGTAGCAGTAGCCAGCTGTGCTTTGGGGTAGCACAGCACCGGTACTATCCCCCCTTCTTCCCCGCATGCAACCCGCGCCCGGGGCGTATATGAATACGAAAGCCTACAGATGCCTTGTACTGGTACATGGTGTATGTCTGGGAGCGAGGAGACATGGCTGACACTATACTTTGTATATAAAAGAAGTATAGAGAGGTCTTTCTGACTCTATGTGCGGTTGGATTCGTAGCGGGAGAATTGTGGCGACTTGAGGGTGAAGGATGCGTTTATATGCTATGTTTAGTTCAGCAGCTTATGTGTATAAGAACTTCTTGTAACTGGTATCAGGTTGGCCAATAATGGTGTTTTATCTAATAGGGGTAAAATGAAATCTAAACCACCCAAGAAGACAATCTACGCAGATAGATAGAACAGACTTCCATTACACGACTGACTGTGGTGTCGACATTTCGGTGCGCACATGTTAGAGATAAATACCTATATATATACCTATACATTCCCCCGGCTCTACTTCACCTCCCCGCGCGCTGTGCGACTGAACTGTGCAGTGTGATGTGACACAGACAAGCTGTATAGTACCAAGGGTTCATTCATCACATACATACATACAGCCTCGAGTGTCACGGCACACACTCTTCATACGGTAAGGCCCCCAATCACTTAATTATACCATACCAGCCTCACTATATGTATTTCCTCGCATTAAAACCCCCTCTGGAGAATTAGAATTCCGTCCTACCCTCGCCCTCGCCCTCCCCCTCCGTCCTTCCTTCTTTTCCTCCACACGTTCCAGAAGCCCATACACATAAAGTCCCGTGTCTGCAGTGTACAGACGTGGACGGCCACTTGCTCGTGTGGTGATACGCGGACCGGATCGGATCGATCGAGCAGGTGACTGCCTCTGACTGCCAGTGCTCGCACAGTATGTATGTATCTAGCTAGCTGGTCCTACGTTACGCTACCAGCTGTTATGCCGTGCTATGTGCTATGTGTTATGTTAGGGCCAAGCGTTTGGTGCAAGTGCAAGTGCAGCGCTCGTACCTAGACGAATGCCATTCCAGAACCAACCGGCTTTGTAGAACGAGTCTGCGCTTGTGAATGCAGTACGTACGTACTGCAGTTGAGACAAAGCTGGCTGGCTGGCGTTGGGGTATGTGCGAGTACGGTAGGTAGGTGGCACTTGGGTTGGGTTTATTATTTGCTGCTAACGTAACGCGAGGAGAAGAGATACTGATGTGATGTGATGTGACGTTTGATGGGGGTGGGGATACGGTAGGTAAATGTTGATGGGTAACACGTACTGCTTGGTGGCGTGGCTGGCTTGTAGTGTAGCAGAGCTGAAACGTATGCTGTGTACTACGTGGCTTTGGGGGTGCTTGCTCTGGATTCTGCGGCTGCTTGGTGGTGGTTTCGGCGATAGGACTTTTGATGCAACGTTGAGAATTAATGGACTTGACTGGTTGAAGAGGAAAGTTTGTATGAGAGTATTCTCAGGCAGCATATCGCAAGTTTTTCCCTAGTTGAAGGACTTGGACAAGGAGACTTCTCGGGTGTAGTGTATCAGAACTGGACCTGATACTTTGAATTGGCGTAGAATCATGTTTTATTCCACGCAAGAGTTGAAAATGTCTTCATTGACTATGTCAAAAACTGCACCAAGGTGCTCAGCATATCCTTCGTCAATATTTCCTCCTCTGAATCCCCTTGCATGGTATCTAGCTGCTCTGTAGAAATATTAGCACCCCTCTCGTCTTGCACCAAGAAAGTAATCATACCTTGAATAGTAGCCTTCACCACCGCCAACGTCTCATCCCTATCCCCAAGTAGCGCCTGTATCCTTTTGGACGCTCCATCATCCTCAGCCACCATCCAGGCCAAAACAACATCAATGGTCTGTAGACAAAAGAGCCCGGCGTCCAATCGCCTTGATAGCCATTCGTCCGCCGCATCTTCTCTTTCTTCCGCATCGAGATTCGCTTGTTCGTTTCTGATCTGCTCATCCACAACAGCTACCCTCGCAGCGTAATCCCTCCTAAGCTTGACCAATTTCCCCAGCTTCTCGTAGTCTTTTTCTACGAACTTGGCGAGCGTGCGTATCCTGCCGCTGGAATTCGCAGGTAAAAGTCGGAGTAATGAGGAGAATATGCCGAGTAGATGTTCGGTTGTTTGGCCATCTTGTTTCTTCATGAACATGCTGAATACGACCTTGAGTCCTGCTGCCTCGACTAACTTCTCACATACTTCGGCTCCGTTTTGCCCTCCTAATGCATGATCCACTAATCGGAGAGCACGGGATTTGCTCATTTTCCCTTCACGGATCATGATCAGACATAGTTCAATCCCTTCCGCTTCGACGAATTTTGTCTTTCCTTCCGGCTCGTCCACCACACAGGTCAAGGAGTCGAAGACGTTTTCGACGAATTCCTCTTCCTCCGTTCCTTTGACTGGATCTCGTTTCCGGTATGCAGCGAGTATCTGTAGTAAGAGATCTACACCATCCAGCTCGCAAAGTACCCGCCGGTTGATAGGCGATGATTGTAGAAGAATAGCTAGAACTTCTGCGGCGTATTGTTTGTTCTGAGAGACCCGTGATTCCTTCTTTTGTATCCTCTTCAGTAACCAATTTAGAACTTTTGTATCCTGTCCAATATTCTCCGCTAGTGAAGTCCTCGAAGCCATATTCTCCAGTACACCCAACGCATGATAAACCCCACTTCTATCCGACTCATTCCCCTCATTAAATCTCCCGAAATTCGAGACCAGTAGGCCAAGTAAATCAGAATCGACCATAGCATCCACAAGTGTATTCCACTGCTCCTGCTCGGCCTCGACATCCTCATCCGTAAGCTCACTGATGATTTCCACGGCATCAATGGCAATATCTGTATTCTCATGCGCCAGCAACCCAACCAGGCTCCCTACACACCCTAGCTTCGCAAACTCCCCATAAAGCTCAGGGTGCTCGCTCAAAATACTCAGCGCCTTGATATCCGCATCTAGATCCGCCTCACTGCCCATAAACTTCTGCGGCTCATTCTCGAATTTAGCTCGCAGCTCCGCATTCTTTGTAATTTTTCTCTCGAAATTCAGGGCCAGTTTTCGTAGCCAGGCAGAGTCTATCTTCTCGGGTGCGATTTCTGCGGATTCTTGACCATCCATGTAGTCCAGTATCTCGTTTTCCTCGCGCGTTACGCCGCCTCCGAAAAACCGCCCTTCGTCGTCGTCGGGGATGTCTGGGCCATAGTCTTCGTCTTCTGGGGGCACAGAGGGCCCGGCTTCCATGTCGTCGTCATCTTCGACTTCGGCGGTACGGCCATTAAATTTGGCGTGGCCGTTTGACGAGAGCTTCGCGGATTTGTAGATTTCGTCTAGGAGAGTCAGGAGAGCTTTGGGGGTAAGGGTAGGAGGACTGACTGGGGTCTCGTGTTGGTTCTAATTTACGTTTGTTGTTGGGTATTGCGGGTTTCTGCAATCAATGTTAGAGCTGGGGAATGCTAGAGGTGGAGTTGGAGCTACCTTGAAGAGGTCGTCGATGCTGGACATGGCTGAGCTGCCTGATGATCAGGCTATGCGTCCAGGGCGCTTTCAATGTGAAAGATAAACGAATGTGATATGCGTGAGAGCTTTTCGTATCAGTTTGACCAAGATTTCAAGAGAAAACAGAATTGGGTTGACAAGAATGGTTGCTTGTTTAAAGCTTGAAACTTTTCTGCGATTGGAGCTCGTGGACCTCGATTGTTTACTATCTGCACGTGATTCGCCTCAGCCAGTAGACTTCGCTATCCTCATCACTTCTCCTTTCTGATCCAATTATGAAGAAACAAGATATCAGATAAGATTACATTTTTAGATGGACAATACCACCATTGAATCCGGAGGCTTCTTCCCACCATCTCTACCATCGCCAGCACCTAGCAATACATCCATCAGCTCCACAACCTCCAACCTACCCCACCCCCGCGCTCACCCTTTACGAGCTGGCTCAGCCAAAGAAGATGCAGCAAGACGATACATCGAGAGCAGATTACTGCATGTTTCGAGAAGATATACGAAGAAATTCCAGCTGCTAGAAGAGGCCGAGGAAGTTCATGGGTATGAGAGTATGAGTGAGGTTGCCAAGGATCTAGGGGATGTGGTTGATGTATTGTGGATCTCTGGTACTCGTATGTAGAACAACCCAATCTTCTTGTCTCAGGCATATACTAACGTATCTTTTTAGCTAGTTTACAGATCCCATATTTACTCAATGTGGCCGGAAGCGTGACTTCGTATCTCCCAGCATTCCCGCCTTCACCAACAGCTACTTTCAAGTTGCTGAGGAAACTAGATCATGCTTTTGCGAGTTTGATCAAGGGTGAAGATAGTGAGACTGGAGAATCTTTACCGGGTTTTGAGGCTGGGAAGAGGGCGGGGATGAGTAGGACTGATATGGTCAGGTGTAAGAGCTTGGTGGAATCGACAAGGGTTCTGATCGTGGAGGTTATGAGTCGGGATCCGGAGATTGAAAAAGATACTCCCGAGCAGAGTGACATGGAGACCGATGCCATGAGTGTCGATGAGAATGATCATGGTGATGGCGTCGAGGATGAGCATGACATGGACGTTGCGAGAGTTTATGAGGGAACAATTGTTCAACTTGGTGAAATACTAGGTGATGCATTTGGTCTTAAAAGCTGAGCGACTATCTCAGCGCTTTTTAAGGTTGCTGGAGTTCGGCTAGGTGGAAAAGGGGCGTTTTGGTAAGGCTAGGGGTCAGATGGCACATGAATAGGGATTGCATTGTCGATTTCTGCGATTAGCTATCCGTGTCTTCTATCTCGATCACGATCACCAAATCGGTCCCTATCTCCTCTTCCTCTGTCTCGTCCGCCCCCTCTGCCCCTTCGATCATCTCTCCGATCATCAAACCGGTCTCTGTCACTTCTTCCTCTTTCTTGTCCACCACCCCTATCTCTCCAGTCATCTCTTTCTCGGCGATCATCCCTCGAGTCAAAGTCCCCTCTCTCCCTTTGAGGGCTTCTACTCCGACTCCTCTCACGCTTTGATGAATCATACTTTTCCTCTCTCTCATGCCGCCTCCGTAACTCATCTTCGTCATACACCATTCCATACCTATCCCTCCTGGGTCCACTACTATACTCTTCCAACTTATATTGTCTTTTCTTCTCCAGTCCACTAACACCACCAAATCCCCCTCCCCGGTGTCTACGCTTGGAGTTCGTCGCTGTTCGCCATGTATCTGACAATTTGGAGACGGATTGTGAGAAATCAACATGGATTCGATGGTCATCTATCAGGACACCTTGCATTTTGAAATATGCTTGCTCACAAGATGTCTGGTCTTCATATTCGATGAAGGAATACTGCAAGCTGTCGCCTGTGCGCTTGTCTCGGATGACTTCGCAGGAGAGGATTTTGCCGAAACGACTGAAAATGAGTTCGAGATCCTCATCTGTCGTGACAGGGTTGAGTTTGCAAACAAAGAGGACGTTCTCCGGTGGCTTTACTTCCGCAAAAGGAAGATCACCAACCATTTCCAAGGTCAAGGCCTGTGCCCTAGCTTCTCTTTCTCGCCGCTGCTTCTCGACGGCCTCTGCATCTCCCTCTTCTTCCAGATTGTCATCGTCTCCGATGCGTACTGTAGCAAGCTGTGCCTTGGTGGGTAAAGGGCTTTCAGGTGGCTCCACGAGCCCGGGAGGATCGTCATAGGGATCATCTAAGACAACTGTATGCTTGATTCGAATGTCCACCAGAGGTCGGCCTTTATCGTCGCAGAAGGCATCGTTAACCTTCTCAAGCGCATCAAAGCCCTCCACAACCTTGCCAAAGATTGCTGCTTTGCCGTCTAGATAATCCAAATTGTCACCAAGTGTGATTATGAATTGACTGCCCGCAACGCGCTCATCTGGATCCTTGGTCGATTGAACCGTAGCCATACTGACAGTCCCCCTCTCCACATGCTTCAGCTTTGGGTTTAGTTCCGCCGTAAATGTCCGCTTCGCAGGCCCGTCAAGAAGCCCCCATATCGAGCTTCCGCCATCGCTTTCTTTCGCTTCTGGGCCGATGGGATCGCCGGTTTGGAAAGAGAAATTCTTCTGAACGTTGTATACGGGGGAAAAGTTGTAGTATTTGACTTTGCAGAGCTTTAGGAAGCTAGATAATCGCGAGTCTTAGTATCTATGTGTTCAGTTATTTAACGGGCAGAGGGGTTTGGAGGGGCACTCACTTCTCGCAGAGTTTGGGCGAATAGTCGACCAAGAGATCGATGACTATGTCGCCGGCTGAGGTTTCGAGGAGGACACTCATGGTTTCGGTTTCGTCTTACCCCAAGGAAAGAAAGCTTCAGGAGTGTATTGTAGGAGCATGAAATACCACGTCGGCACTAAACCGAAGGCCTCTAAACAAGCAGGCCTGTGTTGACATTCATTGCGGCAATACTTGATCGGCGCTTAACGCGTTTAGATGTTAGGATTTTAGGCGCTAGAACTAGTCACATTGAAGCTCTGGCCTCTTTCCTTCAACTTTCACTCCCTCGACTGTTTGTCATTTCACATTAAAATCTATTGATCTGCATCAAATCCTCTCAACCGCTTCCCAACATACATGCAGACTTTGTTTGCTGCTTACCAGTGTCACCCTGGTTCCCTCCTTCACCTTATGCCCGTATCACGTGTCAGGCACCTCTACCTCCACATCCCCTTCCCCTTCCCCTTCCCCCTCACTCTTGCCTTACCTAGATATCCTTGAGCGGATCTCCCGAGATCTTACCAGCTGTTGTGTATCATCTGACTAGACCCGTGATGCTATTGGAAGGGATGAACCAGATCCCGCCGGGTCCCTTTCCCCGGTTCCTGAATGTTGGACGCCTTGTCCGGTCTTTCCCCACAATCTACTTCTCGCCCCTTTACTTCGATCTGCTGCATCAACTGTCCGACCTATTCCCGCTGACCAGACCAGTCCTTGAAGTTTTTTTCGTGTGCGACCTCTGTTGGCGTTCTAGTTGTGTCCTGAAAGACCTTCGATTCTTCTGCATCACTCCTGTGTACGACGTTCATTTCATCCCACATTTCGACGAGTACCAGGTTTATGGATCCCATCAGTCAATGGTTGGATAATGATATGTTGATCTACTCTTGGCCGTTCGGGAACCTGCATAACCTAAAAGTCGCTGAAGATTTTCGACAGGGAGGCCGTCCTTTGTCATCGATGCACCTATCCGACGCATCTTGAGAATACTCCGTAAGTCCTGCATGCCATCCCCACGTGCACGGCGGAAGTATCACAAACTTTTCAACATATTTTGAAGGCTCGTCAAGTTATACTGTTACGGGTCGGGAATGAACGTCCCGTCGAGCCATACTATTATGCATAATACTCAATATGCAGAATATCTTTGATACCTCGGTAGGTATGTATTGATATTATCAAATAGCATCATACAAGGGAGTACGAAACTTTGGGGTCTGGCCGAAAATCGCCCGTGATTCTGTTTTGCCCAGATGGAATCCCCATCGTTGAAGTGTAGTACGCAAGACCATGAGAGCCTCTCCATGGGATGGCTATCTGAATGTCGTATCTCTGTCTCATTTTCACAGCTTCGTCACAGGAAATTGTCAAGGTCCCTCCACCATCTATGCGGAACATGACTGGTACAGGTTATCGTCCTGTTTTCGAGGCCCCGTTATCAAATCCGTATTCTCGGCACGCCGACGAGAAGCCATCGTTAAACTCTGCAGGATTGTAGTCTTTGAAATGCATGCAAGTGTAGTGGTACTTCGTCAGCAGCCAGCTGTCGTACAAGCCTTCAGAGCTCCCGCGGAAATGTCTTGCTCATCCAGAGTCTTGGTTGAAGCTTCTTGGATCTGTCTCACTCCATGGTGTTCAAGTTAGAGAAATTATAGGTTCCTTGCAGAATCCCCGTTGAATTTGCCTCGTCACAACCAATTCCCCGCAAACAGCGTTCAATTGCAACCCATTCTGGTGATACTGATGATCACTTATAAATTTTGCAACGTCAAACGCATGCTTTTCCTTAGAATCTTCGCTTTCCTAATAGGGCCGCTTATCGTCATGTCCTCGTCCAAGCAATTCTCGTCCTCTGCAGATGATCTAGCCACGCTGCAGAAGTCTTATGTGTTCTACAGCATTTTGCATGAGGTAAAATTCGAATCGATCAAATTGTGTTGCATAATGGCTGGTTTAGCTCCATCAACGGTCGTCACAAAGATAGCAAACATCGTATAAACTGGGAGATTGGTTGAGTTGGATGCAGCTACAGTATAGGGAGGTTTGCTCAATCGTGATTGCCCATCGTCTACCTACTGGTAGCAAGTATACCTCTGTAACTGGCTGGGGGATTCTGCTTCTGACATGTTCTATGAAGCGGTAAAGAATTTCAGTCGTGATGTGAGGAGCGTTTGAATTAAATACAAATGGTCAAGCTTGGTCAAGGATCTGGCGTCTTGTGTATGATGTGCTGTACTGCATGAATCTAGAATCGCTGCATCAGTGACGAAGCAATTCTTGAGGCGCCTGTTTTGTCCCATGGACCAGGCTATAGCTCTTCGTTCACAGTCGCCAGTCATACAGGACTACGTATGTTTGTTGTTCTGTGGTACGGCCGTTGTTGAGCAAGGCGGCTCTTCGATTTGTTTGCTGAATTATGCCTCCTGGCGCGACAGTTACCTGTCATAACACTTAGGATACTGTATCTTTCTCTGAAAGTAGCCAAGGCCTCCCGAGTGAAATTTCCCGCCATTTGGGGGGGGTGGGGGTGGCTGTCAATTCAAAGTTGGGGAAGATGCGGTTTCTGGCAGATGTCTTCTGTCCTAATGCGGCCTTGGAGATCTAGTCGAAGCGCCTATAGCTACATGGCCCATCTTGCAGCTCAAAGCCAGCATTCTTTGTTTACGACACTGGTGTTTCATAGATCAGACAGTCTCAGGCGAACTAAAACTCGGAAATCCATACGCAGGGGAAGTTCTCAGCCAGTCTCAGGATAACCAGGCAATTGAAATACTTGAAGCCCTCGCCCCGACTTTCCATCCTCTAGGCACTCGCTCTGTTTGTCGAAATGTGCTGAAGAATGCAAAGATCAACGTCGGATGCGTACAAGCCATGCGAGGCGTCCTGCAGCTGGCCGTTGGATACAAGACTGTGGTTATGGCTTCACCGTGCATCATCGAACAGCTGCGTCGTAGAGTTTGAGAGGGCACTGAGGCATTTCTGTTTTGTAGGAGAGGAGAGGAGATTAGGGTGATGTATCGCAAAAACTTGGACCATATGCAGCCTTGTTCCGCAGGTAAACATGCCTTTTGGTACGCAAACATCATGGAGACGGTCACACGCGATATAATAAGGTAGTGTTTGCCTCGCCTGACCGCCCTCAGGATCGGTCCATGCCTCACTCACTCTCAGCTTGATCTTTCTCTGGGAATACCGCGCCTGAGACGCTCGTTTGCCATCATCAAGCTACTTGGTTGAAGTAACTTCTGTCCCTCACCTCTTCCCATGCATTACTCGTATTCTACTTATCCTTCAACACATACGAGAAGATCCTCAAAGTAAGAATACACCGCACTCTTCACCGCGGCGCATCACTCTGATCCTGTTCCCATCCAACCAGATGGTGACTCGAGCGTACTTTGATCATGACGGGCAAACCTTCCGTCGAGATAGCAGCCGTGGGCATGGTTACCCTCTGAGCCACGACCGCGACTTGCCTCCCGCACCTAGTCCCTATAACACGGCCCGGGAACATCACTTGTCGAACCATGAAACTCGGAGTAGCAACAGCGCTGCGGATCAAGAGAATCATAACTCTCGACCACGGAGTAGGATTCCAGTTGCTGTAAGTCGCTCCATCGCGTCGAGATTTCGGAGCTGATGCTATCCAGTGTGGACGATGCCGGAAACGCAAGATCCGTTGCAGTGGGGATTTAGGAGGTGGTCTCCCCTGTACCAACTGCAAAAGTGCTGGGAATGAGCATTGCCAATTCTTGAGGGTAGATATTGAACTGTGCGCAATCGCTATGCCTATTGCTTACTTTGTGTAGGTCTCATCTACTGAAGCAACCATGAAGAACGAGCCGAATGACTTCAATCACTTCGAGCCTCCATCTGCAGCGGCCCGACTTCAGTGTCGCATGGTCCCGTACGGCCACCATGCCTATGTTCAACAGACGTCGCCCGTTGTTGATGCTTACTATCAACGCACCAATGCCTCATTATCAGGATATCAGTATCCAGCAAACGCCAAATACTATACGATGCCGCCATTTGAGTACCAAGACGAGGGCGACTTTGCCATGCAACAATCCTACCCAGCAGCTATAAGCTCCGACCAGCTTCTGTCTTCCAACTTTCCAGTTGCCAGTGTGAGCCGATCATGGACCCCGACACCACAATCCTCCAAGAACGCTCCTGTGTATCTCGAGCAGGAATCATCTTTCAGTCATGGTCAGCTCCCGTATCACACCTACCCACTTCGACCAACCATCAGCCCTGAGACCAAAAATTCTTCGCTGAGCGGCCAAACCTTGAATGGATCTCTCCCTACGCCTGAAAGTGCAAACAACCGTGTTCTTCCCTTCCCAGCTGCTAACCGACAGCAGGTGGGATCCTACCTTCACTCAAGCTCTAGCGGTCTTCCAACTTCTCAGGGAGGATATCAGTCCTACGATGGACTTTTAAGCCCGAACACCCAATCCAGGAAATCTATCAACAGCGAAAACGCATCCCTCTCATCATCCTACCTTCCGTACTCCAGTAGTAGTCCTGAATCGCTGGCGTCATCCCAGAGAGCATACAGTTCGCAGACTCTATCTCCGCAAAATGCCGAAATATATGCTCCGAACAACGAGGGCCTCTTCCATGCCAACGAATCGGTAGAGTCTTTGTATGGAACCAGCAGCGAGACTAAAAGAGGTCCGCAGAGCAGCCAAGGAGGGCCGGAAGGTTTAATGTCGTCAATGTCGAACGGCAACTTGGTGAACGGCCATGCATACGTCCCCTACAATAATCAGTCCAGCTACCCTCCTCCACCCATGAACATCCACCACGCTCCTCATCGACGTCTCTCGATTGGAATCTCGGCTACTTGATTTCCCAACACTCTTTACGTTTAGATATTTCATTTGTACTCGTGAGATTGATTAGTCCCCAGGCGGCATGGTGTTTACCTTGGCTCAATTCGATTGATTTGCTTCTCAGGCGAAAGGAGGGCTAGGAAAAGAAACTAAAATGCTGGGAAACCAAGCTGGCAACAGCGTTGCTGTACAATTATGCGCAAGGAGTTACTGTGTCTATGGACTTTTCTCATTGGATGGCGTGGGTCTGGCCTCGGAAGAGAATAATAGTCGGGGATAGTGCCCGGTGGAGGGAGGGAGTTGTGTCTATTCAGGGGAGGGAGGCTTTGTTCAAGGTTTCCCTGCTGTATTTCCACCTTGGTCCAAAGCAGTCTGTCTGTCTTTTCCTTTTCGACGGCATCAAAAGGAACCCCGAGATCTTCCATCCATATTGATTGAGTAATCTGAGTATTATATTCCTACAAGGGAATACTAAGTTGATAGTTCTCGCATTGACTGACACCTTCCATTTCCCACTTGAACATCCTCCATTCCATGCCTTAACTACCTACACATAGTACAATAAAAAAGTCCTTGATGGGTGGATTACAACCAATATCCACCCTAAACAGGAAACCCGAACCTTTCGTTGCACTTCGCATGAAAGCTCACGGACGACCAAAAAAAGAAAAACGCGGCCGCATTCACATTCGGCAAGGAGGGTAGGGTGTATATAATTGAATAAACGCATGTCGAAATACATCCATGTGTACCTAGGTATACCGTGTAATGGTGTACTGGTCTAGGTGTCTTTAAGAATTGATCGCCGAGCTTGCTCGGGGGTGTCCTAGTCTAACATTCCTTTTTTGTTTTTTTTTGTTTTTCTTTTTTTTGCTTCTGTATATTAGTAGGTAGGTAGTTCCAAGTCCGGGAACCGCCTGCTTTTTAAGTTTTTATTTTTCTCCCTCTACCTAAGTAGGTATCTAGGTAGCATTCGCGGTTTTGTATTATGTATTATGCGCTTCCGCCGTAGAGAATCCATTGCAGAGTGAAAGAAAGGGGCTCGCTTAATTAATCGAGGGGGTTCTTCTCGTTGACGGAACGGATTCCTTGGATTGCATAAGGTATGTTATTTTAGGAAAGCGACGACGGTGCATAAATGATACTAGTGCATACCTAAGATACAGATTTATTTTTCGAGAGCGTCTTGCTGGAATTGATTGCCTTGTATATTGATTGATTGATTCTTCACTATTGCATGCATGCGTGGTGCACTTACTTATTCCCGAATCCTTCCTGTCTAATTAATAAGCTTATTATCGAGATAATCTAGAGGTGAGGTTTAAGATATCAGTTCCGTAGGTACTACGCGCATACTATCTCTCACAGACATAGACTCAATCCAACCCACGGGCGCGTTAATAACCTAGCGTTCCATTTTATTCCATATTCCATAAACGTCTCGTTACAGACCTACCTATATTTTCATCTATGCAGGCGAGATCACTAGCCTATAAACCTTCCACAATTCACCACATGAGCCAAAACCGTCTTATACTAATTCCTAAAAAGATCATAATCCCTACATGCACTCAGGACCGTTCCCTACTCCCTTTTAAGATAAACTAGTGCAATTATGAATCGGTCCAGGATTTATGAATAATTTAGTTTGTATGTGAATATAAATTAAAACTCCATGAACGGACTACGTCACTGGGAACTGCATTCATATATATGGATAAAGTAGAGAGTCATGAATGGACCGGAACATATCTGTTTCCACCATGTATGCGGACCGGTAGATCGAGGAGGAAGAACCTTACGTACGTAGCAGTCCGAAACATCAAACAAGCCCCTCTGTTATCCAGAACCTATCTGTAGGCATTATCTGAGATGCTCTGTAGACTATTACTTGCCTCTCGAGGTTCCGGTGTTTGATACGGCTACAGTGCCGCAACTTCATCTCGCGCTTTGTGTGCCTCGTTTCGACCAACACAAGACAGCGCACTCTATAGATGGAGCTTCCTGTTCGGGAGAGCTGAGGCCACGTGATTTTCTCAGGTTCAAGCCAGACTCAATTCTTTCGGTGATCTTTTCTACCACATAAGATGGTCTGCAACAGTAGATGGTTGGTAGTGGAACATCTTCTGGCTCATGAAGAACCAAACTACCATAACCTCGGTCCTCGACTTTTCCAGGATCGCATAGCAAAGTCATACTTTTCAGGTGCGGAAAGACTGCTAGCCATGAATCCGTAAGATCGCCATCCTTGGGCTCTGGGGGAGGACGGAAAATGCGCATGAGGACATGATTTCAAACACCAAGACTCACCGCGAGGCTTTGAGCGAGAGGTAATGCGAGATGTTGGATAGTTGATAGTTCTGAAAATCTTCGCGCTCGACCTGGGGGGGCAGAGACAGCCATCTCTCAGTGACCATCTGCCGAGAGGAGTCGTCGAAGCCGGGGAAATACAGAACGTCTTCTTTATCCCACCACATCTTATCTTCTCCAGGCATTATTGATTTACAATCCAGGTGGAAGCGAGTCCATACAGCAGCTCTTGCTTCATGGCTGGTATGAAAGAGGGCCATCACTCCGCTCCAATAAGGCACAAGCAAATCAGCTGTATCTTGTCCCATTTTGACTTCTTACTAAATTCCTCCATTTGCCTTGGAATGAAAATACATCAGCATTTCTGTTAATGTAGTATGAGCATTAAGGTCTCGTGGGGCTGGAAGGATCGCACGAGCGCTAGAAAGATCGAAATTTGTAATGAATGTTATTGCGCCAGGCACTTGTCGGGGGTTAGGGGTCGCGAGTTTCCATATCATGCATCTGATTTCGATCGGTAGCTGAGGAAACTTCGAAAGACTTAGTGTATCTTTAGACGGGTCGTAACGTTCGTAACGTGTGTATGGAAAAGGGTCGTACAGCTCTGGGAGGTGAAAGGCGAGGGAATCATCGTAACGGATAGTCCATTCTGAGGATTGATGTTGTTAGCAGCAATTTGCAAGGCAGAGAATGGGATAAATATACCTTGAGCCGCGAGATGTCCCCCGGTAGGCGATAGCGTCACTGTCGTCAGTGGGTCCGAATCCATGTTCAGGTCTACCTCCTCCATTGCATCCTGCTGGTCCCCATGCCCATTTGAAGGACCATCTCCAGGTCTGC